AAGGAAGGAAGGAAGGAAGGAAGGAAGGAAGGAAAAGATAGAAGGGAGGGAAGGAGGGAAGGAAAGGAAGGAAAGGAAGGAAGGATGGAAAGAAAGGGAAGGAAGGAAGGAAGGAAGGAAGGAAGGAAGGAAGGAAGGAAGGAAGGAAGGAAGGAAGGAAGGAAGGAAGGAAAAGAGAGTGGAGGGAGGGAGGGAGGGAGGAAGGAAGGAAGGACAGGAGTTGCTCAAGGAACCCCCTTGAGCAACTCCTTCCCCGCAAAGAACTGGGGAGAGAGGACGTGCCACCTTCTCTTCCTTGCTATCATCAGAGGGTACTTTCAACTTCCCCCAGCCAGCAAATGTGGGCACTGCCACCACTGGGGAAGTGGGGGTCCCTGACTGGGAGGCTCTGGATGTTTTCTGCACTCTGGCTGCTTGGACCACCGGAGCACTTTGGTGGGAGAGGGACCACCATCATCAGGATCAGCCGCAGGGACCTGGTGTCACGGGATTCTGGGTTCCCATGGGGAAAAGGCTCAGGAAAGGTTTCGGGGCTGAGGCCCAGCTCCAGAACATAACCAAGGGGGAACAAAGCATCCACTTCCGGCGACCACCTTTCGGCAGAAGCGCCGCCCCAGACCACCTCAGGACGGGTCGGCTTTTCTCAACTCACCCGGGGTGCAGTTTTGGGGGTTGCAGGTCTGGTGCTGCAGCCGTGGGAGAAGACACAGCTCCTCTGGGGCAGAGAGCAGGATGCGGCTCCTCTCAGAGACGCCTCCCCCGCAGCTGGCGGTACAGGGGCTCCAGGCTGACCATTCGCTCAACAGGCAGGAGGGGCCTGAAAGGACAGGAAAAAGAGGGTGCCGGCTAGAGCCTGGGGGCTCCCCCTCCCTCCCCTCCCGGGACGCCTCTCAGGGCTTTGCCAGAGGAAGGTGGAAGCTACCCAGCCTTGAACTCTGGGTGCGGGGGGGGGGCATTTTTGGGAGGTAAACCTTGGCTTGCCTCTTCCTGACCAGTGGCTATAAGGAACTGCAGAATCATCCCCTTCTCCTGCAAAGAGGCCACATCTTTTTTGGCTCCATGGGCAAAAGCCCAGCAAAGCAAGACTTCCACCCCTTTCGTGACAAAAAATGGTGCTTTCCCCCAAAGTAGGGGGCAGTGGCTACTTTACTGGCTTGGCTGGGGAGCTTGTGTTTCTTTTAAGCGGCAGCCCTTGATCTGGTCTCCCTGTAAGGCTGGCGTGCTTTGCTGCGGAATTTTGTGTGCTTTGCTCTTCAGTTCTGCAGTTCGTCTCAGCCATTAAAAATACCACTTCTAGTTTCACTCTCGTCCAGAGATGAGGAATCTCACGGGGCTTGGAAAAAAAATCCCTTGTTTTGCTGAGACAGCCCACCACGGCGATTTCCTTTGAATTACTGTTTGGCCATGGGAGGTGAACCTGGCCTGATCCCAGGAGTGGACAGCCAGGGGGGCGCGTGTCTGGCACTCACCAGGGCAGGGCTGCGGGTTGCAGGGTGCCGTTTCCGCCATGGCATCAGCCAGGCAGGGGGCACCCCCGGGGCTCTGGTCGCAGGTACGGTGCCGGAGGGCACTCCCCCCTCCGCAGCTGGCCGGGCAGGGGCTCCAAGCTGACCATTCCCCGTAGGAGGGGCACTCCTGCTCTGGGCAGGCAAAGGTGCCATTCAGACAGGTGCTGAGGACAGAGAGAAGGAGGGAGGGAGAGATGAAATCCGTGGCCCTTCATCCACCTGGCACGACAGAAATCTTGGGCCAGGTGGATCTGTCATGACAGACAGGTTAAAACTGCAAAGGGAGGTTAGGAAAAGCAAGAGAGGAAGAGATCCCAAGATCCCTTTTGGGGCAGCAGCCAGTGGGGTGGGGGGATCTGGACAGGTGCTCCTTTCTTATTCCCACCTGGCATCCGTCTGCATAGCTTGCTTCAGGCCCAACCACGCAGGATGATGGTACCCCATAAAACCCACTGCCATCAGAAACGGCACCCTGCAATCTAACTGTGGGGTCCTCTCACTGACTCCAGAGCCTGAACAAGTTACTTTTTAGAGTACAGCTCTGAGAATTGCCCCAGCCAACTACGGCTAGTACACAGGACCGTTGGACTACAATTCCCATACTCCTCCCACTCCCCACAGGCTATGCTGGTTGGGGCTGATAGGAGTTGAAGGCCAGGTTACCTACATCTGGAGAGCCACCTTTTGCTTGTCCCAGAACAAGGTGATCCTGCAGTGGCTTCCTGCACAGTTTGAGAGGCTGAGGGTGGCTCCCACCATCTGTTTCCCCCCCCAGTCCCCCCGCTTTCCTACCACAAAGGGCCACTTTAATCAGGAAGGGACCCTGAAGTCCCTCCCTCCACAAGCATTCATGGGTCCCCCAATTCCATGGGGCCAGGACCACTGTCCAGGAAGGCGGCCATTCCTCCGGACAGACAGAGGGACACCTTACCAGTTGTGGCAATCCAGTTGTGTCATTTGCCCAGGCAGAAGCTCCAGGGAGCTGTTGGCTGCGGGGAGGCTACAGCGGCAGGCTGGGACTGGCACACACGCACCATCCTGCAGGAGATGCCCCTCTGCGCACCGGCACCCTGTGGGGAAAAAGAGGAGGGGGAGCCCATGGATCAAGAGAGAGGGGCGCTTTCAATCCTCACCTCCCACAAACAACCTCCCTCCAGATGGCTGGAATTACAGCTCCCATCAGCCACAGCAAGAGGCGGAGGGGGTGGGAATTGCCCCAAAGAACAAAAGGGACCTTGGGAGAGTGGAGGGGGTCAGGGTGGGCGAAGAAGGCGACGATTTGCAATTTCTCGGCTGCCAAACATAATCCCTCTTTTTCTTTTTCTTTTCTTTATTATTGATTGATTCCATTGGTATACTCTGCCCAACTAGCCACAGCTACTCTGGGCGGTTCACAACACAGTTAAACAAAAGACAATGCTACAAGTTTAAAAAAATCAACATTGTAAAATAAAATAGAACTAAATTACCAAACCAACAATTAAGTATTAAACATTAAATGCTTTTAAAGGCGGTAGCGCTGTTTCAGCTGCTGGACTTTTCACTGGGTTTCCATTGACGGAGATGCTTGTCTGAACAGCCAAGTTTGTAATGCTTTTTTAAAAACCCTCGCACAAAATCAGTAGAAAACAAGTCTGAAAGACACTCCCCCCCCAACCCCCGATTCTTCAAACAATCTCGCCTATTGCTTGGTGGAAGGGTGCGTTTCCACCTGAGGCTTGGGGCAGCTCTGGCAAAATGGGTCTTTTGCTCTTTGAAGGCACAGAGGGGAGGGGGGAGCCAGTGAGTGAATGGGGAAAAGGTGAGGACCGAGGGAACTGTGCAAAGCCGGAGATGCCCTGGGGCTGAGGCTCTCTTCCTGGAGCTTTGGATTCATGGAAAATCTTGAACATCTCTGCTGGAAATGCCTGCAGGCCTCCAAACACCAGATCCGCAGCGAGGATGAGCTCAGACTGGGAAGGAACCAGGGGGTGTGGGTGGGTAAGGTGGGCGCACGTGGGCGTGTGTGTGGGGGGGTCAGTGGCTGGAAGATGGCAGAGTTTTACCTTGCTTGCATTCCCCCTGCAGGCACTCCACGTGCTCCCAAAGGTCCATGCAGGTGCGCGGGCAGCTGTTGGCACAGGTAGGGGCGTGGACTTTGCCCCGATCTTCGCATTCCTCACCTGGGGGCATGAGAAAGTCAGAAAGA